GACGAGCACCATTCTCCCATTTTGCCCCTGAATACATCATTTTGGCTGTCTGGGAAGGAATGTTGGCCCTGAGTGTCATCCTCGTCATCGGACGAGACACCTGCCGCTTGAGGTGTGGAAGAATGTCCTGGTTCTTTCGATTCCTCCGCTTGGTCATGTGGGGCATGACCTGGGGAATCTACTCAGCTTTTTATTGGTTGGGCCTAATCAGCGAGTTGTCCATCCTAGCCTGGTTCATGACCTATGCTGCACTACTCCCTGCAAAAGCCTCAACTGAGCCAGCCTCCAGAGACCCACCTGCTCTCCCTCAGAGGAACAACGCTCCAATAACCGAGCAACCACGGCCAGTTCACCGCTGGATTGACCCCCCTGATCTGCCGGCTTTCGATGCTTCTGTCTATTGTGCCCAAAATCCAGTGTCACACCCCAATCCACCAGATGAATAAACAAATTTTTGCTTTTTGCTGTTTTAAAGCCACACTATGCAATTTGATTGATTTTTGATTACTATGATAATTTCTTTTGAACTTTGTGGTTGTCACAACTTTTTGCTGCGTCTGGCGCTTTAAGTTGTAAAGTAAATTTGTAACTCTGCCTAACCACCTCAACCCTATATTCTGACAGGTGCAACAGTGTGCAGACTGCGGGAAAGGCTTGAAGGAGTTCCCATTCCTATGGGAATGCTTGGGGGCCGCGTGGTGTAATCCATGCTACAAAGCCTACTTTGGAATCCCGGTGGCTACGGCCGTCATACTGAGAGATGGGATCCAAAGTTGCCCCAAAGCTGACTTCTCCCAAAGCTACCTGCTGCATAAAGATGGGCAAATGGTCCACTGTAACCTGAAGAACCTGTTCTGGCCCGATCCTGTGATCCCTACCAACATACATCAAGCATGTACCCTCCCCCTCATCCAGAGGATCTGGAAATCCCGCATGTCAAACCACAGGTATATAAGCCTCCATATCCCTGACTTTTCCTTGGTGGATTTGCACATTATCCAGCCTGCCGAAGACCTGACAGAAGTGCAACAAGCAGTGGCCAACCTGCCAAATCAGCTCATTCTGGAGACACCTGTAGTCCCCATGGCTGATCCTGCTCCTCAGGACATGTCAACTCTGAATGTGACCCTAGAAAACCCTGATCTTCTCGCATGGCTGAATAATAATTCTAAGAACGTGTTGCCATCAAGCCCCGTCTCAGAAGTGGACACCATCGACTGTAATCCACCTTCACCAAGGTACAGCCCAACCATGCCTGATTACACCCAGAAACCCGAACAGGACGTCAGAGAGACACCAGCTGCACATGAGGTGGAACACCCACCTCATCAAATCCCCAGCGACATACTGACCCTGTCTCCTGGCCCCTCGGATTTCGAACTTGAGCTGGGCGCTCATAGACCCTTCGTGTCTGACGATGCAGACACCCCTCATCCTAAGACAATGGAAGAAAACCGCCCCCCTACCCCTGTGAAAGCAAGGTTGGGCCCACCAGTGGCGGAAAGCAGAGAAATAGGGCCTCCGAGGAGCCCGAACACCTCTCACAGAAAGAAGGAATCCAACCCAGGGAAGAACACATACGGAAACTACGGAGCCGCTGTGGACCGAGCGGTGAAATCCTGGCATCAGCCCAAGGCAGAGGGGTATGAYAAAAGGTACCGACCCAACAAGATGGGCCCCCCTAAGTTCCCCAAAACTCCGCGCCCGAGTAGGATGGAACCCCCTGCTCAAGGTCCTCGCTACCCACCGTATGTGCCTGCAAAGATTCATCCATTGATCCCCCCTGGGACCCTGACCCAAACTCCTAGGTCTGATTCCAAGGAGAGGGTGTCAAGAGGGCCTGATGCTCAGGATGCTTATAACGGTGGAATCAAACCTGGAGAGTTTTTTCCCCCACAGAGACGGGACCAACAAAGGAAAAGGAGATATCATAAGAACAACGGAGGTCAAGAGGAGAAAAGGTTTAGACGGCAGCAGGAGGAAATGTAATGAGATAATGTAATCAACTTTAAAAATATATATCTAACCTAACCAATGATTATTATTACTGTGTTTCTATTAATTGATGTACTGTGATTCTTGATGACTTATAAACTTGTGAATTGTGTTTAAGAATGTTAAGATGGTGAATAGGGCAGACAAGAGTATAAAGCATGTTCTGTAAGGTTAGTTGAATGAATGTATGACCAGTCATGTGTAGACAAGAAGAGCATTATGTGAGCTGAGCCTGGCCACACTTCTAACGGTCAGCAAGCCTTCAGTTCCCCTTTCTAATGTCACGTGAAACCTTGTGCAACAGAAAACTTCTCAGAAATGATGAGTGTAACAGATAAAATGGACTTTTGACACCACAGAAAAAGTACCTAACGGGCCCAAAAAGGGGAAGTACTGAGAGTTGCTTCACAATGGAAAAGTACC